TCCAGAGCAACAGCCCAAAATATGTCTATAATTTCCTGTTTCAAAAGGGATCACTTTTATTTAAATTAGGACCAGAAGCATTCCAGGGAGCTTAGCAGGGCCTGTGGGAGAGCTGGGCCTCCCTGTGTGCTAGCACCTTGCACAATCCCGTTGGGTGAAGGACCCCTGACTGTGCCCTGCACCACAGCAGGGCTGTGTGTCTCAGCTCCACAGCCCTGACAGAGCTATGGCACATCCCTGCACCACAAAGGACCGGAGGTGCCCGTGTGGTGGCACCCACCGATGCCACAAGCACGGTCCCTGCCAGCCCTCTAGCTGGTTTCCTCCTGCTGATCCCATCTAACCATGCCCGGACCTGGCTGAGGCCTTATCTGGCCTCTCCCCCGCAGCTCCAAGGACACCAGCATCTCCTCTCCTGCTCCCCAGCCGCAGCACCGCGCTCTCAGCGGGCACAAACCCCAGCTCCCACACTCTGGCATTGAACGTGCACCTGCTCCCACGCCAGCACTGCAGCAAGGGCAGCAGCCCTGGCCCCCCTAGCCCCCTGAGGTTATCCGGCCAGGTTATCCCAGCGACACAGCGACATGGTCCGGTGCCGCCCGCCGCGCTCCGGGGAGGAGGTGCCACAAAGCCAGCGCTCAGGCCCGGCGCAGACTCCACCCCGCAGCTCCGGCGCCTGCTCAGGGAGCCCAGGGAGCCCCACGGCCACTGCCACGGCAGACCTTGTTCCATCCTGGTCGCCACCCGCTGGGGATGGGGCCCACTATGCTCCACACAGCTCTCCCTGGCATAGGTGACCTGCTCCGTGGGCACAGGCACCCTCCTCTTCCTAAGGAAGGTGTAAAACTACACTAAACAAGCCTGGTTATAAGCTAAACCAACACTGTGCTGTTGCACCTTCCTGCCACCACGGAGGGGGTCCAGCCCTGCAGGCTGTCAGCATTTGGGGGCCTCTGCCAGGATACCAGCTGGCCAGGATGCTGGTTAGCCAGAGACAGGGTCAGGGGAGCAGGGGCTTGAATCCCCCATGGTACACAGGGAGCCCAGCTCCATCCCCACTCCAGCCAGGGAGGGGCTTCCAGAGCAACAGCCCAAAATATGTCTATAATTTCCTGTTTCAAAAGGGATCACTTTTATTTAAATTAGGACCAGAAGCATTCCAGGGAGCTTAGCAGGGCCTGTGGGAGAGCTGGGCCTCCCTGTGTGCTAGCACCTTGCACAATCCCGTTGGGTGAAGGACCCCTGACTGTGCCCTGCACCACAGCAGGGCTGTGTGTCTCAGCTCCACAGCCCTGACAGAGCTATGGCACATCCCTGCACCACAAAGGACCGGAGGTGCCCGTGTGGTGGCACCCACCGATGCCACAAGCACGGTCCCTGCCAGCCCTCTAGCTGGTTTCCTCCTGCTGATCCCATCTAACCATGCCCGGACCTGGCTGAGGCCTTATCTGGCCTCTCCCCCGCAGCTCCAAGGACACCAGCATCTCCTCTCCTGCTCCCCAGCCGCAGCACCGCGCTCTCAGCGGGCACAAACCCCAGCTCCCACACTCTGGCATTGAACGTGCACCTGCTCCCACGCCAGCACTGCAGCAAGGGCAGCAGCCCTGGCCCCCCTAGCCCCCTGAGGTTATCCGGCCAGGTTATCCCAGCGACACAGCGACATTGTCCGGTGCCGCCCGCCGCGCTCCGGGGAGGAGGTGCCACAAAGCCAGCGCTCAGGCCCGGCGCAGACTCCACCCCGCAGCTCCGGCGCCTGCTCAGGGAGCCCAGGGAGCCCCACGGCCACTGCCACGGCAGACCTTGTTCCATCCTGGTCGCCACCCGCTGGGGATGGGGCCCACTATGCTCCACACAGCTCTCCCTGGCATAGGTGACCTGCTCCGTGGGCACAGGCACCCTCCTCTTCCTAAGGAAGGTGTAAAACTACACTAAACAAGCCTGGTTATAAGCTAAACCAACACTGTGCTGTTGCACCTTCCTGCCACCACGGAGGGGGTCCAGCCCTGCAGGCTGTCAGCATTTGGGGGCCTCTGCCAGGATACCAGCTGGCCAGGATGCTGGTTAGCCAGAGACAGGGTCAGGGGAGCCGAGCATCTCATGCAGGAGATGTGGGTCACTCAGCCATTAAGTTTCTATTTATAGAGCAGCAGCCACGCACGCAGGGCTGCACACACTGTCAGCAGCTCCTGAACCCCAGCACATCTTCCCCAGAAAGGGATCCCAGCGTGGGGAGGCTGATGTGGGCAGAGGGGCAGGTAGGGCCCTTCCTGCAAAGCACTGTTAGAGATTTCGTGGCAGTGAGGAGCAAAGCTCCTTTCCCTGCTGCATCATCCCGCCTCATTGACCTGACAGGGACACTTTCCCCAGACGACACAGAGCTGGGCTCTCCCAGAGTCCCCCCAGCACAAGGAAGAACAAACCCAGCAGCACAATGAGCATTCTGGGGGGAAAGATCCACCAGATCAAAAGCCCTGATGCAAACCTGCCCTGCAGCCACTCTGCTGCCCCAGGGCATGGGCAGGCAACACCTCTGCATACCAGCCACAGCCTCCCGCTCCTCCCTGTGCATCGTCCCCAGTTGAA